TCATAATAGAAGTATCATGACTGTAGTTGGCTTATTTTAGCAAAAGGTAAACAAACTTAATGTTCTAAATGCAGTTGCATGTCTCAAAATAAATCCTATTATAACTACTCTAAAATAGCTATTATGTTCAAATTATGATTAAAACAAAATGCATTTTTGTGTAGTATACCATATGAGTTTTCTTATATAAAAATTACAACCAATAAGAAAAACAATTAGTTTGTGTTGGATACTTTAGAGGGTTTTTTTGTTTTATAATTTTACATTTGTCATCACTATATATATATATAGAGTTACATTACCTCCTCAGATGATCTGACAACAGCTTCCAAGAAATTGTTAAAGATTTTATATCGAGCAACCTTCTCTTCAAGTTTTTTCTCTTTGGCTTGAATAAGGGATAAGTCTTCTTTAAGTCTAAAGGTACAAGGTATAGCATAAAAAGTGTAAAACTAATTCATCAATTTTTGCAGTTCATAAAATCACATAGGTTTGCTGTTCCCTATTCTTCACAATAAGAAAGAGTAAAGTTTCATGATAACTTTATTTGACTGAAAATGTTAGCACTTCTTCTTACTTTTCAATTTCCTTTTGTTTTTGTCTTTGATTTTCCTTTTCTTCCTCAGCTTTTTTCAGTGCTTTAGTACTCTTAGCATCATTTTCCTATAAAGCAACAAACAAAAGATATTTTGTGTACTTTATTAAGATAATTTTTTCATGAACTGTTTTAAAGAGCTAAAAATAGTAAAATGTTACATTTTTAAATCAAAACTTGTATTATTTATTGATAAAGTTTAAGAAGAACAAATTAAAACAAGTTTTGTATTTAAAGATATATAATAAGAGCAATTGAACAAATGAAATATCATTCTTGTATAATTAAGTATACATATTAGGTGAAAAATTTGTAAACATTTTAAAAGCCTCAATCAGTCTCTATGATTTCATTTATCAAAGCCAGAGAATGTGATATATTCAAGCTCATAAGACAACAGTATCCTCAACTAACCATTATCATGATACTTTTACCATAGAAATAGAATATGCAAAGCAAATTATTTCTTTTTAATTTGAGTTTTAGTATTATGATATGATTAAATTTTCAAGCAAGTAATAAGAAAATAATAAAACAGATGCTGAACGAGTTGAGTACTGTACGTATGTGTAATTTTCCCACGATTTTTTCTATTTTTAGTGATTATATGATCCTATTTTATAGGCAAGTACAAGAAAACTGCCAAAAAATTAATTAGGTGCAACATCATAACATTATTCACATACCTAAATTAATTTCAAAATCTCATAAATATTACATACACTTCACCACTATATTAGGCCTAACTGTATCTATTTGGTTTGCTGACCCAAGCTGTGCTGATGAGCCTTGAATAGGCAAAACAACAATTTACAACAGAGGGTACAGCCAATCAAGGAATACATTAGGCCTCTACTCACAGATTCTCTTTTCAATGTTATTACTTCCCTACATTTCTCTCACATGTATAGCTAGTCTTGTTCAGTGTTTCCCTCTATATGCAAAAATCATTTCGCATGCTACAAGCCTTGAACTCCCACTTACCTCACAATTAACGTGGTTCACTACATTCTCGCATGTAAATCATCATGCGACAAGACAACCCTCCATTAATAGGGGTGCGACACACCCTCCTGACACATGTGACTCCCTCTGTTCAATTCTACCGAACTATCACTTCATGATTAGGCAGAATGGAAGCACCAGTTTTAAGTGGGGAGGAAGTGTAAGAAGAGGTAAGTACATATTGAAAATATATTTTCAATGTAGGAAAAAATAAATTCCAATACAGTATCTTACCTCCTTTCACACGTATAGATAGAATCCCACATTGAAAAGATGGAAGGACTGACGTGAGGGATATAGAGAAGTATCCTTCGAAAGCATCCAAAGAACACCCTTGAAATGTGACCCCCAATGGCAGGGGATCACATGTAGGAGACTGTACCACTTCTGTACCAGGTATACTCTTCACCCAGTGTGGAAAAATGCACTACACACATGGTTGGAAATTAGGAGAAGCACATCCAAAAAAAATTAAAAAAGGATATGCCCCATTGTGTAGAATGACTAGAGTGCATTGGACCATATGCAGCTGGTCAACTCCAGTCTAAAAGCAAGCGGCAAAAGGCATACATCTTGTGACCCCATGGTAGGAGGAGAGTCCACACCATATGCACCTTAAGTTGAGCAGAACTGTAGGATATACACCAAACTGATCCACCCAACAGGGCACACATGCAAAATCCACAACCACAAACAGGCATTCGAGAACCAAACTTCCGAATTACCATAGGAAGGATGTATTAATGTGGCAGTTCATAACAAATCCAAACTTCACTGGACTGGTTTCACACAGTACAACATCATCCTCAGGTAAGAAAATCCCTGGAGGTCGAGCACCAGAGGGATAACCATCACCTTCAGTAATACCATCCACCAAATAGGACTGCACAGAAGCTGAAGCACATGTGTGTGCAACTTCATCCTCTGGAACCCACTGCACAGAGATGGAGATCATGAAGCAAAACTATACACCTGGAAAAAAGTTAAGCATTCCCGTGTTTTTTTCAAGTGATTCAGATTCGACGTTCTTGTGACTGATTATAAATTACCATTCAATCTAAACGTGTTTATCAAATGAAATT